CAGAAAAAGTTCCCGATACTGCGGTCCGAACTATGGTTCGTGCTCGCGTTGATGGCGCGTTCTGCCGAAGGGGCTGCCGTTGTATCTCGTTTCCTGCGACAGCGCCCCGAGATAGTAAGCGTGCTTGTCGAGGCCGTCACAGGCGAGAAGATGCTCGAGAACCAGGAGACACAAGATACTGTTAGTAATTCGCCAGGAGGGTCCGGGTTGGACCTCACGGCGATAAACAGCGGGTTAGGTCAGCTCGAACCACAACAGGTAGACCCGACAAAGGCCGCAGCTATGACGAAGGTGGACCGGGAGAATGGCCTAGTGCTGATCACCGAACTATTAAACCTGTGTTCAGATGAGCTTCCTCCTGGGGTGAGAAATACGTTTAGCCGGATCTCCAAGACAGGCGGAGAGCTGCTCCTAGGTAACAGAGGTGAAGAAGCATCGAAGGGGAAGATCGAGTCTGCAGCAAGCAGATAAGTTTATCTTGAACCAGCGGGTCACACTTAGACAACTAGCTTTGGACTATGGCGCAGAGACCTTGATAGAAGTCATCACTCACGTGAGACTCACTCTCAACATCTATCTGTATGGGTTAGCTTTACCATCTACTTACTCTGCAATTGATGCATATCGATGTCCAAGCTACGGCTTCATGTCACAGGACCCGAAAGACGTGTAATTCATGTCCATTCATTTTCCATTGAGAACGACCTAGAGTAAACCGGAAGATGCAATAATGCTTCGGTCCATGTTGTGTGGCGAGAGATGAGATCTGTTCTCTCCTGGCTACACAGAAACCGCAAGCCAACCCACCATGACCGTCCAACAACACAACGAAAGCAGAACCCGAAGAATGCCGTCCGTACTCCCGTGCAGACCCTTGCGGAGTTCAACCTCCATCTTATTTCTTGTTGGCCTCAGCCTCGGCCTTGTCCCTGGCTCGCTTCTCCCGTGCTCCTTGTAGTCGCTTATCACTTCTCGCCTTACGGAGCTTGGCGAACGCACCACCCTCGATGGGCTTGGGCAGGTCGCTCTTCTTGATCTCTGTGACAGCTTCACCAACGGGAACGATAGGTAGGGCAGATCCAACGGTGGAAACAGTCTCGGTCTTGCTGAGGTCGATGTCCTTGCTGTCACCGGCCTTGGGGTGCTTGGCGCCCTTGCGGGGGAAGACGATCAATCGAGCCTTGTAGGCCTTTAGGCGGGCCACGTTGGCGGCGAGGGACTCCTCGCTGAGGTTCTGGCGGCGGTAGTCGACAGCGATACCGATAGTAGGGGCAACAAGGCGGGGGATACCAGCTTCCTATATAGAGGTTAGAATATTCCCGTCCGAGTGTAGAGCTTACTCGAGTGACGAAGTCGCCGGGATATTATGCAAGCAAGTGGACGGCCCTCTCTCTCGATGTGTAGAGCGGAAATTTTCTTAATAGAGATGTACCTTGAGCTCAGTAAGGGTGAAACCACGTCCAGCACGCACGCGGCGGTTGTACTTGATGGTCGGGCATCGGACGACGGGTCTCAGCTTATCGACGGGTCGGGGTGCGACGGCAGCAGCCTTAGCAGCACGCAGAGAGCGGCGGCGGATCTTCTTAGTAGGCTATGATATTTCCGTGTCAATGTCTGAATATCTTCATCTTTATGACCTCGTGGCTGCAAGAATGGAGGGCATTCATATTCATACCTGGTCGAAGTGGGTTCGGACCCGACGTTGCCAATCCTTTCGGAAGTCTATTCACGCTTGGTCAGTACTTCTAGGCTCCTATTTCAAGTGCAATCGCTCGATTCGCCATCGCGAGGTGTCTTCGGTTGAACGTACGGTTGTGCTGAATCTGGTTGTTGTGCTTGATCGCCTGGGAACATGGACATGTCAGCGCGTCGGCCTTTTGAAACGAAATATTCCAATAGACACGATGGCATTGCAGCCATCAGGTATCAGTACTCACCATTGTGAATGATTGCGATCAAGGGTTGGTTGTGGAAAGGGTGGTCGTCTATCGCAGGTCGTCTCAAATCTCCGGATTGGAGGCACGAGAATTTCCCAGAGGTAGCAGGCTTGACCAACCCGCACTTTCGGCAAAATTTTTGGAGGGCTTGAAAACCCTACAATTTTGAAGTGGCGGTGCAGTTTGTGTTTGCAATGTGTGGGGCTAGAATTTCCTAGTGGGGTGGCTTTGAAACCTTCCCACACGTACAGTTACCTAATGTAGTACCTACGACCCGAAGCCAAATTATGTACCTTAGTAATCATATACCACCCTACCAGCTGTCAACTCTCCAGGACACTGGACTGCGCTGAAAGTGTGCTGAACCTGCCCCCCCCCCCCCCCTTCTTCCGCCCCAAGAAGTACTATGTCACTAGAGAAATCAACGATATCATCAATAATATCTTTAGAAGCCATCCCCATGACTTCAACTCACTTAGAGGCTGGGTTGCAGTGCAATCAGTCATCAGGACAAAACAAACGACTGAAGAAGGGCTGGCGTGTAGACAACCCCAGCATACGATATAGCCTCGAAGTGGTTAGTTAGGGTTTGTGGTATTATATAACGGCAGTAGATTACTAGTATTCGCGTAGACGAAGAGATAGGTACATGTTAAAACGTCCACAGCGTGATAGCATGTGATATCGTCGCGACTTGGCCCTGTCCAAGTCAGCACTCACCTACCCATCTCTTTTCTCTATTTCGATAGAATTGATATATACACGAACAGGGTTGCCCCTATTGCCGGAAGTTTTACTAACAAAGACGAACACATTTACGCCTGGCGATAGCATTCGGAAGCCTACACTTAAGCATCACTCCGTCAAGTTAATATTCTCAACTGACTGCAGCCTTTGTAGCTCCGAGTCTGTGTGATGCAGGCGATCCTGTACATCTCCAAGCTGTACCCTTCTCCTCGCATCAATGTACATCATATATTCCTGATATGTGTCTTCACAGTCGAAAGAGTTAGTTATACGTCTGCGGGGGATCTTGCAAGTTGGGTTGAGTTATTTCCTTGATTCAGCAAGCTTGCTCAAAGGCAAAGGCCGAGGGTGGGGGAATTTTGTTGGGGAAAATAAGGGCGGAAGGAAGAAAAAGAAGTATCAAATACACATACGTGGTAGTACCTTGACGTCCTTGGGCACTGAAAAGGTATAATTAAATTGGCCAGTCGGTTTAGCGTTCCCGTGCTCGACGTCTCTAACCTTGCTATCTACTCTGACGTGGAGGCGCGTCACCGGGTTCTTCTCGTCCTTCTGCTTTGGTTCGCTACCATCTTCTTCTAGAAGCGGCGGGTCTGTGTATACGATGGTCGCGGTTAGGTATAGTACACTGCCGACGGGAACAGGATTACGGAAAGTGCAGGGATCGGCGCTGATGAATGTCGGCCGCGCGTGCGCAAAGCTTGCAGCGCAGCAGAAGGCCAACTCGAACGTCTGCTTTAAATGGAATCCGCCGAAGATCATGGTCTGGTGGCGATTACGATATTGTGGCTGCATGATAGAAGCAGTCGAAAGCTGGGTCCTGGACATAGCAATCACATTCGCAGGCTGGCGAAGACCGTTATTAGGATCGTGGTAGGCAAGCTGTCGCAGCCAGATCTTGTGGATTAGGGCCGACTCAGGGTCATTCGGCTCGGTCTCAAGCAACGAGGTTTTCAGGTTCTTCTTCTTAGCTAATGCCTTGGCCTCTCCGGCCTTGAAAATCTTCTCTTCCTCAGGAGTTGAGCAAACAAGACGTGGTATATTGACGGGTTTCTTCGTTGTGGGATCCAAGGCCACCATTGTGAAGGTACATGTGAGTAGCACGTCCTCGGGCTTGCTTGGTTCACCTTCGTCTCTCGCTCTGGCAACCTTGCATGTGATCTCAACGCTACTCCTTCCTGAAGCATAGGTTACCTGTCCACTATATTCCAGGTCACATATTTCGGTCAGTGGGTGGGATATTGTTATACGGTCAAGCGCGGCAGTCACCGTGGTGACGCCGGGTCCGGTGTGCTTATAGACAATGATACCAGACAGAGCATCGAGGTCCATGAATATTGTGCCTAGCCTGGAGTATACTTATCTTGTTAGAGGAAGTTATAAAAAGGAGAAGCGGGCCGAAGACCTTATGTGACCGGAAGAGTTGATATATGTATCGCTGAGCCAAGGGTCACGGCCGAGCGGAAGCACCACTCGGTGGTAGCTATCGCTCATCTTTTTCGGCGTAAGGTCGCGCTCCTGGGACTGGGCCTCATCTGAGGCTATATTTTTCCCTTCTTGCTGGAGCCTCCACGCTTCTATCCACGGCATTGGCAGGCGGTTATCCGAGAGACCCCGAAATACTCCATCTGTGTGACGCGGAGCTGTGCCATGGAAGCACCTCCTAGGACGGAAGCGAGCATGTCTGACACGAGCACCGCCGTTCGAAACGTCAAGAGGGGAAGTCAGCGCAAGTAGCCGCCTAATAGGTACTAGCCTGCTAGCCATGTTGAGGAAATTAACGATTAGAAGAGATAATTATTTATATGTAGGAATAGAATGCGATGATGAAGTATTACGAAGTGTATATGTGATTTGTATGTACATGTATGTATTACCTAGGTACATGTAGATCCGAAGTGGGGTATCCTTCCAAGGTTTGATGTATGTGGGTACGTACATGTACCCTTTCGAGCCTCCAAACCACAGCGGTACATGATATATTACATATACACTTAGGCATCGAAGCGTTTAATGGCAACTTATTAATTTAGGTACATATAAGGATAAAACAATTGCTTCTCTGTTGAAGAAGTAAGCCATCGCTTTTATGCATCAAATAAATAGAATCCATTTCAAAGGTTTTTATACATGTATATTAACGAAAGAGGAACATTGAAGCCATTGTTAAGAACCTGTCTTACGTATAACTCACCACAGACCTTATTCGGGACATCAACACGTTTTATAAAACGATATAGAATATACAGTCAAAAATACAAGGGGAAAAAGCAGATATGTTTGACATGAAATACTCAAGAATACTAAAAGAATTTGCGCCTCAGGCGGGGGTCGAACCCGCAACCTTGGGATCACGTGACTCGGCAAACTCCTGAATGAGAAGTAACAACCGTGTTAAAAGTCCCACGCTCTAGCCAATTGAGCTACCAAGGCGATGTACTGTGTTTTCATACCAGGGGTACGATTGGATGATGATCGCCTAATTCTTAGTTACTATATAGCTTAGCCTCTTTGTGGTGGCTTGATGTAGTGAGCAACCCCGCAGCTATAACCCACTTTACGATGCCCCACCTTAGTGCATGTAAGTACCATGCCATATGAAGTAAATACTCATCGAAACATTAAGGGTTCGTTTAATTTCGCTATATATAAATCTTGTTGAAAACACTGCTTTAAAAGAAGATTATCGGACTCGTTATTAAGCTTATCGAGAAGATAGTTAAATTCGATGTGATCGTTAATAAAAAGGAGGTATTATTAATGGCAGTGGTAGCAATAAGAGCGATAACGAAAGCGACGATAAGAAGAAAAGGTATAAATTTACTGTTAGAGCCGTACTTTAGATAAAACACTTACACATTTACACTACGGGAGGCTTGGTACGTATAAATATATAGTGGTTTTATACGAACCCGAAAAGAAGAAAGGACTCCCATGAGATTCGATTAGGTTGTTCACCATAAAAGATAACAACTTATGACTTTAGATCTGGTGATTTACTGGACAGGGTTCGTGGGTCATGAAGGTAGGCGAACTGTGTCTAAAAGACTTGGATAGACCTATCGACCCTAATCTCACAAGACTGTTTTACAAGCATAGGCTAGGCACGAACTTTGAGCAACTTTACCCTCAGATTTCAGATTTAGAGGCTCCCATTCTTTCGAGCCCAGATCCCCTCATGGGTGTAGATTTCAATAGGTAGACTCTTGAATAGCTCAGTTGGTCTCGAATTCAGAGGACATAAACGATTCAGATACCCTTCCCACAACCATCCTCCCAAATAATAGAAGCCGACGGAAGATAACAATAGTCTTCCAAAAGAGAAGCAGGAGCTTACCGAGAAGTATCAGAAGCAGCCAAAAGACGAGTTAAAAAAGACATAACGGCGCTGGCGTTGAAAAATAAGTCGCGAGTTGATGCGAAAACTCGCAGAGATGCAGCTGAAATGAATCCAAAGATGCTCAAAAAACATAACCGTCTCCAAGGTACCTACCTACCTAGTTTCAACATTCTCTATGAATAGGCGTAACTATTCAGTGATTACCAAGACGTTATACATAGGTACTTTGCAACATTTTCCTGAAGACCAGTGTCTCACTCAAATGAGGTCCTCTCCTGCCTTCAGCCGACTGATGCTGGCGCATAACCTATTCCACTAGCACCTAGAGATGAAGCAAAAAGTTCAACATCACGCACACATTCAGTAATATGTAGTTGACAGATTACAATATCGTGTTGTCTTATATGCACAGTACCCGAGGGCATCCGCACTTTGGTCTATTGATACATGGCGCGTTACGAGTACTGTCAAGTAGGTGACTATGCTCCACCCTTGAACCGCGAGAGCTCATTGTTCTTCCGGACGAACCCGTGACCTTCTAGAGGCAGATCTCTCTTCTTGAGCTCTTCTTCTATAAGCTTGAATCTCCCGAATGCTTTCTCCTTGTCGCCGCGTGTGAGACGCTTCGTTGCGAAGGAGACGTTTGGCAGCTGGACAAGATCCTGCCGGTGTTCCTGAATCTCTTGAGTCAGAGTTTTCGGTTTCGGTGGCGTTTGTACCACGTGCAGCAATGACTGTACATCCGAGATACTTGGCAGCTGGTGATCGTGGACTAGTTGGCCAGTGAGCTGGAAGATCCGCTTCGTAACCTAAAAATCACGATGTTAGTTTGATATTCCATTTTAGGAAAATGTGACAACTCCGGCACAATAGAACTTACAGCGAACTTGATCCGGGGGTCGGACAGAGAAGCAGCCTTCCAGCCACGACCCCAAGTCTCTCTATACTTGTGAGCTTCCTCAGCTGAGAGCACCGACCCCTCTGATGTAGATTCCTTAGAACGTTCGTCCTTCCAGCTCAGAGAGTCTATTACCATAGAGACATCCCCGGCCAAAGAGACGGCACCATTATCTGCAACGTTGATCTCCACCTCCATGAGCTGATGCGCGTCTCCTGCTATCGGCCAGGCCTTCACCAGATCCTCTTCTCGACCCGCTTGCCTCAGCGCAAATGCCTCTACGACGGCGCGCCGTACCGAGGCCTCAATGGCGGCCGGATCAAGGATCTTTTCCAGTGGCTTAAAGCCGGCGAAATCGGCCGACTTAGGCCAATGTGCCTGTTGATCCCACCAGTTCCCTAGCCCACCAACCGACTCCAGGCCCTCTGCCGTTAGTGCGGGCACATATTCCAGATCTGAGATCTCGTCTGATCGCTCGGCATAACTGCGCTGAGGTGGTGGGACGTATGTCTGCCACTGTTGCGGAAGCTGGTCTTCCACTTCTTCTATGGCCCCTTCGTTCGAATCGTCAAGCTGGTTTTCCCGTACTTCCTCAACATTGGGGCTAGTTGTCGGCTCGGTGGGTTGTTTTTCGGACGAGTAGAGTCGTGTAAATGCAAGGCATTGGGAGTTTATCGGTATGGGCCTACGATACGATGCTGAGATAATCTGAGAGGATGGAGGCGGACATTGGCCGACTGAAGGGGCAATTGGAGAGCGTGAGGTCGAAGTAGACAGGCTGGATAGCCGTGTTAATCGTGATATCCGTCGCATTGTGGCCAATTGCTTAGCAATCAGGGCGCAGGTATGACGATGATGCGGTATAGGTATCTGGATATCTGGATATGAAGACTCGGAACTTTTTTTCAATCGCAAGGGTTTGCGATGCCAGCTGCAAAATTGCCATGTACCCAAGTACACAATAGATGCATGAAGTGATGTGTGTAACGCGGGGCTGGGCTTGGCTTGGCTTAGCTTGCAAAGGCCTAGAGGCGTTTTAAGTGGGGCATCAGCCACAGAAGGCTACAGTGTGACCCACCCTGCCAGCTGCCTGCCACCCTTATGTGCATGTACATGTATGTAGGCCTGGGTCGGTGTACATTGTACATACTGCTATCATTCGCATGGAAGCTTCAACTTTACAACAGCATACACGTAGCCAGCTTTACCACAACCGTCCAACCGTCCAACCCTCATTGAACTCCGTGACATAATCTTTGTCATCTCATGATATCTTCATATGGAATGCACATGGGATCTCCTTCGTCGCGATACCTAGTATATGGCCATTCGATGATAGCGGCATGACGCGACTACATCTCTCTCTCCTCCTTATAGGAGTTTTTATCTCTTACGTCGCCGCAGCCTGTAAGCCATCCTGCCTTCGTAGCCTGTTCATTCATTCCCTGTATGCGCATTGCCTACCACAATACGCTAACCTCTCCATCTCTTGAACCCGTAGCTGCGCCAACATTCTGTAAATGTATTTGCTTCAAGAATAGCACCTTGATTCAGCTAGGCCCTCAAGGTGACTCGCCTTCCTCCTTCGAGAACTCCGGCTCTGCCGTGTCAGGGCAGTCATTACGTTCACTATCAATTCAAGCGCGCGCCGCCTCCGCCTCGTGTACCCAATGCACGCGGGCCTTCTGCCTATCTCAACATCTCCCCATCTGCAAGGACGCCGAGGAGAATGACGTCGTGGCCATGTGCTTTCAGCGCGATAGCCGCAAGGACCAGATCATCGTCTGGGGGTTCATTCTAGGTACAACAGGTCTGTTAGGCTGGGCCGCCGCTAAGAGAGTTGTCGAGTTGCGAGAGGGCAAGAAAGCTGCCGCGCTGGGATTGGGTGGCTCTGCCGCTGGGAACAGACGAGGAGCCGCTGCCCAGAATAGAGGTGTATATATGCCAGTCGGCCATGGTAATACATAAGGGCTAAGCAAATGGCAACACACGATTGGTGCCTACGAATTGTATTGGCCTGAAGGTCGGTATTTGGGCGTTGTCAATGGCGTTTGGGACATTCCAGCTAGAGAGCCTGGAGAGGCGCTACGTTTTTGTATGGTGCTTGGGTTTTTATTCAACCTCTGAAGCTATGCAAAGACAAAGGGTATCCGCGTACAAACTACTGTGTGTACCTGAAGCCAATATGGTCTGGAAGGGGGAAATTGCGCGTATTTATGTCAATTATTTTTTTTTTTTTTTTAAAAAAAAATAATGGTTTATAACCAAACGCCTTGGGCCCCTTTTTTTGGTCTTTCCCCCGATTAAATTCCCCCGACCCCGTCGTTGGGCTAATGATTCTCAGATACCATATATCTTCGGCAAACATCCCGCTTATACGGGTTATACACCTAGATAGCTAGCTTTGCCCTTGGTCACGTTCTTTCAGAGCCAAACCACTCTTTTCTTCACGCAGCTAGACCCGATAAGACTCCAAATCAAATGCTCTGTCCCAGGAATTTATTCCTCTTCGAGAGGAGTAGCTTTAGGCTCTTCGCCGTTAGTATTCGGCGCGCCGTTCTTCTCCCTCCGAGCCCGGACTGCCGCTGCCAGGTCTTCAAGGACATGGACTGTCGTTTCCCAATCGATACAGGCGTCCGTGATGCTCACACCCTTCTTCAGTCCAGAGGGCCCTTCGGGAGGGACCTTCTGATTCCCTTCGTTGATGTTGGACTCGATCATAACACCGATGATGGCCTTTTCCCCTTCTCTTAGCTGATCGCCAATGACCTTGGCGACCTTGGGTTGATTCCGGTGGTCCTTGTTGGAGTTGCCTATTTTGGGATTAGTTTATTCTCGGGTGCGTACAAACAAAACGATGGCCTACCGTGTGAGCAATCAACCATGATAGCCAACTTCTGTCCCTTCTTCGTCAGCGTGTCCTTAGCAGCTTGGATGCTCTCCTTGTCATAGTTGGTGCCCTTGCTACCGCCCCTGAGGATGACGAAGCCGTGCTCATTTCCCTTGGTTCTCGTGATGGCTGCTAGGCCCTGCTTCGTCACACCCATGAAGTGATGCTTGGACGCGGCGGCACCAATGGCGTCTATAGCGACATTCAGGTTTCCATCAGTGCCGTTTTTGAAACCAATTGGGAAGGAGAGGCCGGATGCTAATTCACGGTGCAACTGTGACTCAGTGGTTCGTGCGCCAATAGCA